TAGTGTGACGCAGTGATCATCGCCCGACTTGCACGTTTTGTAAAGCTACCGGTTTCAGGACAGAACATTTGTCTGGTGTTCTGTCACGGTCCACGCTTTAATGCATTACATCGTAGCACTACTTACACTTCGTTAGACATGGTGATCCATTACGATTCCGTGCTGGTGTTCTCTGTTCTGCCCATAGATTCCATACTGGTTTCGCACGCATAAAATGAACGCTAGATAGGTCTGGGGCCACGGAGGAAGCAAGTTGGAGCAGGAGAGAGGCGGAAGATGAACGTTCTTATTCAAAGTACGGATGTGAGTGTGTGTATGTATGTATGTGTGTGTGTGTAAAACGTTTCGTGGAACTGAGTGCCACCTTATTGGGAAGCATGGAACCAACCCTTCATGATTAAACAACAGAGCGTTCGGGGGAGAACATCGATATCCTGATGACAGCTCGGTGAGTTTTTGAATTGATCGTCCACCTCGGACTGGGATGCTCGCACGTGTTGGTGATGCGGGACGGGACTGTTCCTCTATCCACGTGGTCAATCACCTTTCGGAGGGAGTTAATTTAGAATTATTGTTTGGCCGATCGATGTCTTGTGTGTCGAAGTTGTGAAAAGCTCAGTAGCCTCGCATAGATGTCGCCTACGATGAATCGCTGATTCGAATGTGAATAAAACAGTGATATCGGTGAGTCTGGTGGAGCGTTCGCTGTTCCAAAGCGCGTATTCAGTGCCCGTGCGTGGGTTCTAATCCCACCCAAGGCTAATGAACTTTTCACAAGCACAACATAAGAGTTAGCTTAGCCGATATGCCCGGCGGAATCTATGTATATCTGTTCTTCCGTCCGCGATGTACAACTAACTTTTCGTAGCGGTTTATCACATTCTTGTGAACCACTGGGTAGAACATCTTCCAGTCGAGTCTTACAGAGCAGTTTGCCAGGTTGTTTCTGTCGGAACATCCAGCCACCACCACCCAACTGTGTTCTCAGTTGTGAGAATGAAGAGCTGGTTTAAAATTCACTCAATACTCTGAACCGGTACAAATCCCCCCTCCCCAGACCCCATCCACAAACGCCGGCTCTCTTTCTTCTATTGTCAGATATAGTATATTCGTGCAATTATTGCGTAAACATCACGCTTTCCGTATCGGAATCGGCCAATATATGCAGTTGGTCACACCAGAGTGCTCGAAATTTCTATTCAATGTGGCACTGAATGTCCCGGGCCGTTGTTGTTTCACCAATATTATTATTCCGTTTTAATATAAGAGAAACGGTATGTGAGAAGGACAGACAGAGATAAGAGCCACGTTTGTGGCACGTATCAGTGACCCAACAAACGCATCGACAACACCCACCAACCCATCAACCCCCTCTACTTCTCCTTCATCAGCCTTCTCGCACCATCATTTGCATTATCGATTCCAGTTTAGGTCAAAAGACGTGTGTGTCTGCGTTCATCAAAAGCTCTTTCTTCACGCAATCGGTCGGTCGGTCGAACGGTGAGTGGTTTCCGCCTGTCCAACCGCTGCACCTTTCTGGACGAGAAGGTGCCGGTCGGGGGTGGGCCGGTATGCATGCCTGATGAGAGAAAATCAAATTTTCAATCACAGTAGTTGCCGATCTGTGGCACTCTCCATTTCGGCACTGACTGACTGACTTGAACGAATGATAACTTTTGAAATGGTCGGGGTCAAAGGTCAATGTGAACGAGAATTTCACTGTGCCGGTACTCCCGATCTATTTCGGTGAACATTGTTCAACTTAGTGTCCTGGTGCATTCGCCCAACCGCAATCGGGAATGCAAAAGTGATAACCGGAACCAATCGAATTCCCCGTGGGCCAGTAACACACACGCACAGTTTTGCACTTCAATCGCAGTCGTGTCCTGCGACGGAAAAAACACACGTGGGATTCGTTATGAAAACAAAGACTTGTTTCTGGCTGGAAAACGTGAATCGTCTTGCCCACACACACACACACACACACACACACACACACACTAACATTGCAACCAATCGCCCCAATCTCTTTCCGAAGGGGGTTGTTCTGTCACTATAGGATGACATGGTCTTCCCTAATGAACACACTTCCAGGTTGATTCCATCTCGGTTCTTTCAGTTCGCATAGTAGCCTGGTGGTTACCATTTCAGGTAGTGCACACACACGCATATGGCGGTTGTTGCCATTCCCCGTACAGTTATTTCTCCGGCTGATCCACTGCAGTTGAAAAGTTCCTCATCGATAGGTTTGAGGCTAGTTACACTGTACCAGACATGTTATGCGGACGTGTGAGAATAGTCAGGCCCCGTTGACATACACTACCCACGACAGACCCTCGAATTTCACTTT